ACACTAAATCTCCTGGAAGAGAAAGTAGGAGGGACTCTTGAAAACATAGGGGTAGGCAAAGAGTTCATGAACAAAAATCAAATCACATGGGAAACACTTGAAAGAATTAGCAATTGGAACCAACTCTTATTGAGAAGTTTTTGCACGTCAAAAGAAATTACTAACAAAGTCAAAAGACAATCCACAAATTTGGAAAAAACCTTGACTAAGAGGCACTCAGACAAATGTCTTCTCTCTAGAATTTATAAAGAAATAAAAAAAACATTAGGGCCCCCAAATTTAAATACCCAATCCAAAAATGGGCATCCAAGATAAACACACACTTCTCAGAGGATGAAATTAAAGAAGTGAATAAACAAATGAATATATGTTCCACATGACTAGCCACCTGTGAAATGCAAATTAAAACAACACTGAGATACCATCTCAGCCCAGAAAGAATAGCTATCATAAACAAATCAACTAAAACCAAATGTTGGAGAGGTTGTGGGGAAAAAGGAACCCTTCTTCACTGTTGGTGGTAATGTAGACTGGTGCAACTATTAACTATTACAGAAATCAATGTGGAGACTCCTTAAAAAACTGAGACTAAAAATCCCATTCAAACCAGCTATCCCCCTACTGGGAATTTTCCTGGAGGAATTGAAAAAGTCATATCATGGTGATATATGTGTACCTTTAATAGTTAGGATAGATATAGAGCTACTTTCTCCTAATTCAATTAGAAGAAAGATCTGTAGTCTCTTATTTTATTATTATCATTTTTTTGTTTTAAACAAACATTTACTGAAGAGACAGTATGGCAGTAATTGGTATGACAGAACAAGTGGTACATATTTAAAAGACCAAAATGACAGGCATTCCAAGCATGACCTTAGTATTACACGTTACTATCTTCAATGAAGTTGCTTAGTTCACAGGTATCAGCATATATAGTTAGTCAGGGTGAGAATCCTACCAAGTAACTGCTAATTTCAAAAACCTGCTGAAAATTCTCAGGATCATTACCTTGTACATCTTGTGCATATATATGTATGGCTTTGCCCCTGTTCTCCTTACCCTTTCTTTGTTGCTTAATCCTTAAGTTCTCACTTTCCTTTTAATTGTGTTATACCTCTCTATTCTTTTTTCTTCTTTTGAGTTATTATACTCGGGAGATTATATGATATTTCCACATGTAGGTCAAGTTTATTTCACTTATGAATATATGTTCAAGTGGCATCCATTTAAATATAAAAATGAAAATGAAGAGGGCTGGAGGGGTGCAGCCACTAGGAAGGCTCTGGGCTCAAATCCCAGTACAACAATAACAAAAAGTAATACAAACAAATTAAGAAAACAGGTCATATCCAAGGTTGTGTGTACAGTCTGGGCCTCTGCTGAGCTCTGGTGCAACCCGCATTCCGTGTGGATGCTGACGCACTATGCAGGGAGCTCCACGCTCTCTGTGCAGCTGCCAGCCCACATCACTGTGAATGGCAGCTCCATTCCTCCCGCAGCACAAATCTTGGGGTCAGTCTTGTGAGTGAGCAAATTTTATCTGTTCCACCTTCAAAGTCATCTCACATTCAGTTACTCTTCCCCCATCAGCACATCCTGCCCTGAGCCAGTCTCTATCTCCCTTAGCTCTTCCGAGGTCCTGCAGCCCCCATCCCAGGCTGTCTGCCTATGCCCCACACCCAGGTCCCCATGTAGCACAGCCACGTGACCCATCCTCCATCCTGCCCTAACCCTTCACTCTGGGACTCATCTGTTTCAAATAGCCCCACCACCAGGGCAGTGCAGGCCTGTGATCCCAGCACTCCAGAGGCTGAGGCAGGAGGAGCACAGCAAGTTTGAGACCAGCCTGGCCTAAAGAGCGAGTTTAAGCCTTGACTACAGAGTGACACCCCATCGCAAACACACAACAACCATAACCAAAAAAAGCCCAACACTAATGGGCTGGGGAGACAGCTCAACGGCTTAAGCACCTGCCTGGAAAGCACAAGGTCCAGAGTTTGATTCCCGGTACATAAAACACCACCTAATCTTTCCCACTGAACCCCAAATAAGGGTCACATCATCACTGGAACAGACAGGGTCTGGGAAAGCTCCTGCAGCAGCCTTGCTGGCCTGTGCTCTCAGACACACACATACATGCATCCTTGGGCCATACCAGCGCTGCTCCCCTGAAGTCCGTGTTTGTTGTCACCATACAGGCATGGCTGGCACCCTGGTCTGCAGGCAAGTCCCCTCCCTAGGCACACCTGGAGATGCTGCCTTCCCCTCCTTCCCTCCCTCCCCATCCTTCCTGCCCTGCCACTGTCACTGTGCTCCCCAGGGCCTGTGGCCTTCTCTTGTGGGATGTCCCTCAGCCCTGCTAGACACATGCTCCATCAGGCCAGGGAGTTCTGTCAGTCTTTTTCACTTTTACTCCCATACTCACATTATGGACAATACATATTTCTGAAGATTATTAAATAAAGACAGAAAACGCCTCCTGTTTCACCACCCTACCAATAGTGTGAGGTTGGCTGAATTTATCACACATTACATTTAGCTCCTTTTTCAGGATTGTATATTCTATCAGTTGATTTCTCAACTACCTGCCAGATGATCAGATTATTTTTGGTTTTTTGAAACAGGGTCTTGCTATGTAGTCCAGGCTGGCCTGAGCTCACTATGTACTCCAGGATGGCCTCAAACTTTCAATGATAATTCTGCCTCCGCCTCCTGAGGCTGAGACTACAGGTGTGTGCCACCATAACCAGCTCCTGTAATCTTATGTGTGAGCTGTGTGATGAAAACCTCAACATTTTATTGAGAATTTATTTTATTTTTTTAAAATGTATTTAGTACAGGGTCTCACTACACAGATTGGACTCATAGTGATACTCCCTGTTCTTCAGCTTCCCAAACGCTGGAGTTACAGGCGCGCGCCACCACGCCCAGTCTCATTCACCGTCTCAGCGCGCCCAGGGGGTGGGCTGGCATGGCACGCAAGGGATCGAAACCCCGGCCCCCCCGTCTGCCTAAGCAGTCGCTCTAATTCACTGAGCTATCTGGTCAGCCCTTTGAGAATCTAAAAAGCTTAAATTGACCTGGCATGGTAGTACACACCTATAATCTCAGCAAGGCTAAGGCAAGAGGATTGATTCGAGTTTGGAGTTCGAGGTCAGCCTGGGCTAGTGTGTCTACGCCAGCCTGAACTACAAAGCAAGATGGTGCCTCAATAATAATAATAATAATGACTATCGATCGATCACATCACATCACAGGAGTATTCCTACAGATACCTATGGGTGGTCAATCTCGTTCTGCACCATTTCACATTGGGAACAGTGGGTGGCACCCTCTACATCATTAGAGCCGTTAGCCAAGACAGCCAGACTTTTCCCTGGTGTTACGGAGAGTCAACGAAGGGGTTCTCTACCACTGAGCTATATTCCCAGGCCTTTTTATTTACTTAAAAGGACCCACTAGCACAGGCTGGCCTCGAACTGGCTTCCATGTGTCTGCCTCACCCTCCCAAGTTCTAGGATTACAAGCATGCACCACCACGCTGGGCCCTTTATGAGGCAGGTCTCATTAAATTGCTTAGGCTGGCCTGAAATTTGGCCATTCTCCAGCCTCAGCTTCCGGGAGTGCAAGCATCTCAGACACGCACAACCAGGTCTGGGGCCAGGAGTAGGCACGTTCTGGCCCAGGTGTGTCCTCGATCCCCCTGGAAACAAAGCTGAACAGCATCCCTTGGCAGTCGCTGGTTTTCTGCGTCTCTCCACCCTATCCCTCGTCTTTCCTCCGCGCTTGTCCTGGGTTTCTCAGTCAACCACTGCCGCACTGCCTGCCTAAGGCTCTGCGGGCGACCTAAAGCAGCACAGTGGGTGCGGTCTTCTGCTGCCCCCTGGTGCCGAAGTGGAGTTTCAGCGTCGGAACTGCAGCGGCTGCATCTCCAACCCTTCCCACCCGCCCCTCAGGCCCCGCCCCACCCCCACTGCAGGCCCCGCCCCCTCCACCCCACCCCCACTGCAGGCCCCGCCCCTCCATCCCCGTTCCGCCGCCCCGCCCCACCAGCCTTGCGGGTGCCCAGGCTCGCAAAAGAGCTACGCACGCCCAAACCAGCACTCCCGAAGTTCCTGTGCCACATCCCCGTTCGCTACCCGCCTTTGCTGGAAAATAGGCCTCAGAATATAGGTGTTCTCGGGCTCCCCTGAGTTCTTCTCAGTCTCAGCCAACCCGTCGACGCCGGGGAAGGATGGGCCTGCAGAGAAGGACGAAGTGCCTGCCGAGGTGGCCATGGCCAGGCCTCTAGGATCCAGCGTATCTCGCGATTAAGGTCTGGCTAGGGCAGCTGAGGCAAGCAGCTGCGAGACCGTCACCAGGGCGACAGGGCCACCCATGGCCGTCACGTGACGCAGCGCGCGCTCCGCTAGCGGCTGGGCCTGCTGCGCTTGCGCAGGCTGGGTGCTGGAGCTGGCAGTTTGGGGCGCCGGTTACCTGCAGGTGGGTGTACGCGGTAACCCACAAATAAGGGGCTGCTGCGAAAGACTGGCTCCTCAAAACATTACACTGTGTCCTCACCTACCTTATTCACCAGATCTGGCACCCTATGACTTCTGGCTCGTCCCCAGAATCAAAATGACCATAAAAGAACAACGTTTTGAATAGACTCAGGACATCAGGGCAGCTAAGACAGTGAAACTAAAGACCTTCAGGAAAGAGCACTTCCGGAGCTACTTCAGAGTGTGTTCAAAACAAAGGGTGCATCTTGAAGGGGTTTGTGCTAGTGCATCACATAGTAATTTTTTTAATGTAATAATTTTTTAAAATGTAAGATTTCAGCATATTTTTCGATCACACTTCACATCTCCATCCTGCTCCCGAAGTTCTTGAATGTTGCCAATGGGTTTAAGCACAGGGCAGTCTTGCATGGACGCTGCGGCATGCAGAAGCAAGGGGGCTGCAGATGCCTGGTTCTAATCAGTGGGTCTTCACAACAGCCCGTGGGCCAAACCCAGCTTTCTCCCTGCTTGTTTCTTTATTTTGACTTGTGAGCCACGCACAGGACTTTTTTTTTTTTTTTTTTTTTTTTCCTTTTCCTGAGATGGGGTCACACGTAGTTTGGGCTGACGTTGAACTCACTAACCCAGGCTGGCCTTGAACTCTGGCTGCCTCTGCCTTCAGGATGCTGGGATATAGGTAAGTAACACAGAACTTGGCAAGAACATGATTTATGTTTTTTAATGATCAAAAACATCAAAGGATAAGTAGATATTTTGTGACACATGAAAATTATAGCAATCTAAATTTTATATAACTCTAAAGCTTCATTAGAACACATCTAGGAGCCAGGGAGAAGGCTCAGTAGAATAAGCACTTCCCTGGCAAGCGCAAGGGTCTAAGTTCAATCCCTGGTTCTGCAAAAAGCAAAAAGAATACATCTATACACATTTATATTTTGTGCATGATGCTTATGTCCTCCATAGGCACAAATGAATGGTTGTGACGAAGTCCAGATGGCCCACAAAGCTGCTTCAGGAAAAAGTGTGTAGAGCGCTGTGACAAGTCACCCTCACCAGCTTGCAGTTCCCCAGCCAGCTGGCTACGCCTCACCTCACTCCTGCTCCAGTGCAGTCAGGAAAGAGTAGCCTTAGGTGGCATTCCCTGTTTGTAAGCACTGGGCCTTTGTCTGAGTGTTAGAAGCCTGGTGGGCCCCTTACCTGTAAAAACTAAGAACCTTGCAGGATGTGCTGACACACACCTGTACCCCAGCAATTAGGAGGCTGAGGCAAGAGTAGTCCATTCTTGGCCAGGAATTCCAGGCCAGCTTGGACTACAGAGTGAGACCCTGTCTCAAGAAAAAAAAAAAAAAAATCATTCTCCAATATCCACCCAGACTCCCTTTGGTTTACTTCAACCTATTAGTTGTATGAACAAGTTCTAAAACTTGCTTTTATAAGATGCAAAAAGGGTAGTTTGTATAAAACTAAACTTTTACAACTTCCAGCAGAACCCAGCTAATTCTTACTATTCTAGGTTTACAAAGCACCTTCTCGACATTATTGCTTAAATTGGCCACTCTTGATTCCTGTAAACATCTCCCCAGTCATGGTTTCCCTGGAGTGGCTGTTCATGGTTTATGTGTAAATGTCCCCCAAAACCTCACAGGCTCATGAGGGGCACTGTACTCATTGGAGAATTGGTCCACTGCTGAGTTTAAGGCTAAATGTGGGGGCTGGAGAGATGGCTCAGTGGTCTAAAGCACCTACTTGAAACAAGCTTGGCAAAGCACAGGGACCTCGGTTCGATCCCCCAGCACCACATGCCAGCCAGCCCCCCCCCCTGGTGGGCTGAGCTGGCCACACACACACACACACACACACACACACACACTAAATGTAATAAATAAAAATAAATTT